TGTACTTCTAATTCGTGACCGGCGTTTTGTTTTGTTCTCTCTCCGCATTCGTCACTAATCACGCAACGCCGACGTGTTACGACATCCACCGGAACGACTTCCGCGTATGACAGAAACCGGAAGTGAGAGAAAAGTGTTTTCTCTCGCTACAGGAGGCCTTTATTCACCCCCCGGAGCCGTGTGAGGCACGTTTTATTATGAATGCGCAAGCTTTATTTGACAATTTCTGGACTGTTCAACTGCAACACCCGCTGACTGCAATGATAGAGCTTGGAATAGCCAGGACAATTTTTTATATAACTCCGACTGGATTCGTCTGAAAGAAGAAAGTCATATATACCTAGGATGCTTTGAGGGGGAGTAAAACACAAGCTAATTTTCATTTTTGGGTGAACTAACCCTTTAACAGGGAGGGTCCTTGTTTTGATCTACTTTAGCATGCAAAGCTGTGATTACTTGGGTAACATTATAAAGGTTAGAAGAGGTACTACAGTAAAAGTGTATACATAGTCATAAAGTGTAAGATCATACAGACAGACTGTGTGCTATAACACAGGGGTTTATAAAAGTTTTTGATATCAGTCAGAGTTTAAGCCTTCTTACAATATAAAATCAGCTAAATATGTTAAAGACCCATTTATACTGTGATATTTGTATTTTTTATATTTTTATTATAGTGTATAATATGTACATTGTATTGGGTTTTAAAAGTTCTGTACTGTAAGTACTGTATAGTAAGTGATTCCTGAAAAATCAATGTTGCAATATGTTTAACTGAAATAATTAAAAATATTTCTTTATCTCTCAAATTTTCTGCAGACTCTCAGACCTTGAATTTCAAAACCCTTGACAATACACTTTGTTGGGGGTCGGTAAGATTTTTTTAAATGTTTTTTCCGCTTACCAAGGCTGCATTTATTTTATTAAATTTACAGTAAAAGCAGTAACATTGTGAAATTTTATTACAATTTAAAACAAATAATTTATATTTTAATATATTTAAAAATATGATTTATTCCTGTGATGCAAAGCTGAATTTTCAGCAGCCATGGCTCTAGTCGTCACATAATCGTTCAGAAATCATTCTAATATGCTGATTTTATTCTCAAAAAGTTTATTCTGAAAACAGTTGTGCTGCTTAATCTTTTTCATGATTCTTTGAATAATAGAAATTTCAAAAGAACATAATTTTTTTAAATAACATCTTTTATAACATTATAAATTTAATGCATAATTTCTTTCAAGAAACATTTTACTGACCCCAAACCTTTGAACCTTGATTTGTGTATGTACCACTATAGTCTAGCAAGCTCTGACATTAGGATATTTGCACTAGATATTTGCAACAGCTGACCTGTCGGTCATGACAGTGGTCTCCACAACCGTCCTCTTCCTCAGATGTGTATCCATGGTCTTCTTCATTGGACACAGTGGCAGACACAGAACAAACAGGGAATGGCTCAGTGTAGTCACTGTGAACAGATGAAACATGAAAGAGAGTTAAATGTACTATGATCACAATGGGTAAGTTACTGTAGGCTTTCACACAACACTTGACCTTGGATTTTGACCCTGTATTATGGAAATTGTACACTTTTAATTTGAAAGAGACCATGTTTGGACCATTTTTATATGTTGGTTAATAAGTCTCTTCTTTAGAGATCATGCACATCATTCATGCACAGAAACTTTAATGAGCTGTGTTTAGCTTTCTGCCTTTATCCTTGGCTAAAAATCCTAAATATAAAGTGTACATTTATATTTAATCTCTACTGATACAAAGTCCACTATCATAGCTGTGACTAACAGACCCCTGAAGAGAAACTAAACAGTTATGATCAGAACACTGCATGTGGCAAACATCACAAACCAGCCAGACTCTCCATATCAAAAACAACGGAACCCTCTCAAAGCACAATGTTTTATATTAGAGGGCACTTTGGTGTCTAGCCGAGCAGAAATTACCCTTTGCCAAGGAGAAACAAATTCCCCCTCTTCATTTAAACAAGACCTGGTGAGAACAATTCATTTTTTTCTCTCCTGCTCCTCCTTACAGTAGTAACACGGATGGCTGGGGCCAGATTGCGAGGACATTTACGGCTGGGCATGAAGGGCTGGCTTGGTGATCCTGTGGTGAGCACTTAAACCAAAAAAAAAAAAAAAGATAGCCCTGAGGATATGCAAATGTGCACATAGTGAAGCTGCTTATATACTGTGGAGGGTACATTCAAAAGCACATATAAGGGAAACCTTGAGTGCATTTGTGCTTACACTTATCTACAGGCATTAGCAAGCAACTCTTCTGTCTTTTGCATTAGTGGTGTTAAAAAATTGTTGAACAGAATCAAATTTCAAAGCAATTAAAGTTAGTGTGTGTGCATATTGTCAATGTACAAAAAAAGGTTTAGAGGTGCCCAGCTGGGTGTCATACTACTCAAGGACACTGTACACTGCACACACACAATGTCTGCAGCTGGAAGTAGAAATTGCTCATCATTGCTCATAGCCAGCTGAACTGGGCGAGCTAAGGTGACAGTTCGTTTAGAGGCCCCAGATGAAGCATATAGGGGCCTTCTGGCAGGACGTCACTACAATCTTCAGTGATCTCACCAGCTGAGGACTCCATTTTCAGTGAAATCGGATTGAGGGTTAGCATAAGACAAAACAAGCTTCTTTCATCTGAAACAACTTTCAAATAAATTCTAACTGAAACTACCCATATGTAGCTCTCCAGGATCAAATAAAACTGAGATATTTTTATGAACGCATCTGGATTTTGCATCGTGCAGAGGGGATTGTCACAACACAACAATGAAATAATACAACAAAATAATCTAATAAATAAAAATAGTCCAGTAAAACAAATGAATCAATATGAACATATCACAAAAGAAACAGTACAATATAAAATATGTAATAAAATACTAATTTAACAAACAAAAAAAGGCATTGGAAAAGTCAGAAAATTTTATGTAAAAACGTGCATCAATCCTACTGTACATAATCTCTCCATCTGCCAAAAGTGACAATTTACACAATCCTCCTGATACTTCAACATTACCATTTATGAGAAGCAATTATGGAGCAAAGTACTTCTCTAAACTGTTTGCTTTAAGGTACCCATGAGCTAAATTTACTGCAGAAAATTACAGAGAGTGCAATGATTTCCTATAACACACCTATATGTCCTACTGCCTGATGCTTCCCTGAGGCTTGTTATATGTAATTCAATTGATTTAAACTCTTGATAATAACATATATATTAGAAACCCCAGTGTTTCTCTGTCTGAATCTGTGTAATAGTGCTATTATAGAAGATAAGCATCGCTGAGATGACTTCATTACCAGACTTCATTTAACAAAACGTATTTGAATGCAGATGAGGAGAGAGTGACGAGCAGCATGTGTGAACTGAGAGATGCATATTCTTGCTTGGTTTTAGTTTGCTGGGGCTAAGATTCAGAACAGATCAAAAAGGGTCTAATTTCATTTCTAAATGGGGTTTTTGTTTATTTAGTCATAATTTCAGAATCATTTTAGTTATCTTTCATGTTAAATATTGCTTTTAAAATGGTTACATTTAGTTCAGATGATCAGCCTTCTGACAAATATGTGTACATATTTACATTGTAAATATTATTCAAGTCAAACAATGGCCCCTGCCTTTACTGTAATATTAGAAAATAGATGGAGAAAGCTGGGAACGATGACAACAACATCGTTGTGGTAGCCTTGCTTTCCTGACTGCCACACCTCGCCTTGTTGTTTGGGTCGCAGGGAAGTCTGGGAGATCGGTATTGCCTGTCTCCACCCCATCCCACTGACCCTGTCTCCTCGCCCTTGTCCTGCATTTCCTGTAAACAGCGGCATGGAGGCTCATTGGCTGGGTGCGTCCCCTCTTGGGATAACCTGGCAATGACCTGAAAGCCCTGGGCACCAGGCCCAATTTGGACCGGACCGGACCAGACCAGGCCAGATCCACACCCAATTTTGTGAGCATCAAAATGCAGAAGGCACTCAGAACGTATATGAAAAGATATGCTTATTTTCTCAATTATCTGGAAGTATGTTTCAAAATATGTTTCTAAGTATCTCAAACTCTTTTCCTCTTTTTTATGTTTGATGCTATGTTTGTTGTAATTTTCCTATTCTATAAACATTGCATAATAATAATTTTATAAGTGCCATGAAAATGAAGAGCCAAAGTAATATAATATAATATAATATAATATAATATAATATAATACTGCTTTTGTCTCGTCGCTCCGGCCGGGACATGGCATCACAGTATGGTAAGGGGCGTAACATTTCCGTCACATGCTTGAGGTTTTCGTCCAATCACAATGCACTGGATAGCTGGCCAATCAGAGCACACCTCGCTTTTCAGACCAATGAGCTTTGTAAAAATTGACGCGTTTCAGAAAGGTGGGGCATAGAGGAGAAACAATAATGTACATTATGCGGAAAATAATGTGTTTTTTTAACCTTAAACCGCATAAACACATTGCATTACACCAAATACACAAAATAATGTTCTTTTTAGCAACGTCATATGACCCCTTTAATGTCTGCATGAACAGAAGTTTTACAAAAATGATTTTATATACAGCACATTAAATGCAAGTAAAGTGTTCCTGTGGCTCAGCGGTAGAGTATTGTGTTAGCAGCGCAAAAGATTGTGGGTTCAATTCCCAGGGAACACACATACTGGTAAAAAATGTATAGCCTGAATGCACTGTAAGTTTTTTTTGGATAAAAGCGTCTGCTAAATGCATAAATTAAATTAAATTAAAATGAAAGGTTTCAAATAAGTTCTGGGAGAATAAAATGTCAAACTGTGGGTGAAATAATGTTCCACTGTCATTCAGTGTAACACACCTATATTTATGTAAAAATTTAAACAACATATTTATTTCGACCTGTAGGTATTAAAATATATATACAAATAAGTGAGCATACTAAATTTTATTGCATTTTAAATCTTGCTGACAAATGGCCAAAATGGGATAGTGGCAAAGTTTAAAAATGTAAAATTACAAGTATTTGGGGTAAAACTAATTCGTTTTTTAATATGTCATAAACTGATTGTTGTGGTAAATATGCCGACAAGACCGTTACCCTGAATGACATTTTAGTGGCTGTTTTCTGTAAATTATGGTAAAAACATATGATATTTATTTTTTGCACAGAAAACTATTTAATTAAATAGGACACTTTCTAATGTATTGAAAAAACAACAACAACAATTCAGTTATGTTTGATGCTATGTTTGTTGTAATTTTCCTTTTCTATAACTATTGCATAATAATATTATAAGTGCCATGAAAATGAAGAGCCAAAGTAATAATATAATATAATTTAAAAAGCTGTATTACACTTATTGTTTATTGTACTTTTTGTCTTTGACCCATGAATGCTTTTCAAAATAATGATTATTCAGAATATGAATAGACAAATATTTCATAATATAGGGGGTTTAATAGTCAATATTAAACACACTAGTGCTATTTATAACTATAACACTATTATGCTGAAGGACTTTCACATCTTTCCTCAATCATTCTCTCACACTACCCACTGTCCTTTGAGATCAGCAATGAGTATAAAACGTTCCTCTGATTGGCTTAGGCATGAAAAAATATTCTTTTTATGCATCTGCAATCAATCACCAAGAGTTTACTGTCATTGTGTCTCCATCCACCAAAGAGGCAATGTCAAATTTTCTCTGCAAGCATTCAAAATATGACAAACAAAAACAGACAGAACATCAGCAGTGACGGAGGATTATCTTGGGACACAGAGCGGCTAATGGTGCAGACACATAGGCCCATTTGCAAACATGCAATGCTGTTAGATTGCACAGCAACACAATGAGTCAATAATGTCACCAGAAAAAGGTCCCTGGCTCCCATATCATCTTCTGAATAATGGAGGATGCTTAAAAGTGTGGCACATAAACACTATGGCCCAGGGTAACTTCCAAATGTTTCCATGGGGAAAAAATCATATGAACCTATATCAAGCTATCACTATATTTAACTTCTAGTAATGGATTTTATTTTGCATTAAAGCATGACATCTGTATTATCAGATGAGCTTTAAGAAAGTAAATGTATAATGCTTAATGTATGCATCATCGATAACATTTAAATCTAAAGAAAGTGAATATTTATATATTGTCAAGTGAGATGTATTTGGATACATGTTTTTTTTTACAGAGCCAATAAAAAAATAGATTTTCTCCCATTCTGCATAAAATTATGAAAAATACCTTTTTTATAAAACTGCAGAATAAGCAATAAACAATGGAAAGACTAACAATATACCAAAAAGCAATTCTGGAAATTTCCCTTGTTTCTCTGAAAATCGGATTAAAAAGCTACCCAGAGGCCACTTGAAAAAGTCAGGGTCTTTGACTACACTGGAGGTAATCGAGCAGAGGTTTCTAATGATGACTCTAGGGTGGCAAAGTGAGAGCAGAGAGGGTCATACAGTGAAAAGAAGGTCAGAAAGTCTTTAAACCTCTGTAAATCCTCAAATCTCCCAAAAGCCCAATAAAAGTAACACGCATGGGGAATTTGGTTTAATAACGCTACATGCTACCAAAATGCTCACCCAAAGGACATAAATCTCTCCCTGGTTTTCTCATCTATTCCCCTCCACTCAGCTGCATCAGGCTGTGAGAGCATTGCATTAAAGGTGAAAAATAGCCCTAACGTTGAATCCACTTTCTTCCCATACTATTTGTATCATTAAACAATTGCATTGTATTCTTTCTCACACAGATAGGGTACTCCAACAAATGTACCATCAAATCCTGCAAATGAGAAAATCAGATAAGCTACCCTGCAAGCATAGTCCATCTTTCCAACCCATGAATCTCAACGCCACAGGCTGCTCCACTACCACATGTGCAACACGGTACCTAAGTGTTTGGCAAGTCAGCTTGCATAATGATACACAAATATGTTTATTATTATTATTATTATTATTATTTATTTTGCATAAAAGCAACATCACTTTCACAATCAAGTTGGACAACATCTTGTTGTAACCTGTATACTGTATCTAGCTCTCCAATATTTCATTATATATTCTAGAATATCTGTAATATTTTAAGTCTTGTTTACTCAGCCAGGAATATTACAGAAAGTATTCTGAGACAGAGAGAGGCACAAGCTGAGCTATCAGAGTGACCAAACACTTGCCTAATTTCCTGTTAACATTGTTTTGGTCAGCACTTCCTCCAGACTTGTGTGATGGTATTGCCATTGTGTTGAGAGGAAGGTGTTTCAGCGTTCAAAATATAACTCTCTAGACAATCTTATGCTAGAGTTTGATGACTTAAACAGAAATATGTCTTCCTAATATAGTTTGTTTCAGATCCCTTTTTACGATTACCAATGTGGAAAATGTTCATTTTAAGTACGTAGTTGTATAAAAACCTGACTATACCTTTCAGGGTCTTGCTCTTGAGTGGTGGGCTTGTTTTCTATTCCTGCAAAGCTATTCATGTCCACATAGCCATCGTTCTCATTGGCAGGTGCTGATGTCCGATTGTGGTCATCGAAGAACTCTGTAATAGTGACTGCCCGAGTGGGTCGTCCATGTGGAATCTGGATATTCTCATAGTCTGAGCTTATTGCAGGAATGTTTTCATAATCAGAAGTATCTGCACTTGGGAAGGAGATGGAGCGTGGTTTAGTGAGGGGTAGGGGCATGAAGGGGGGCCGAGAGCGGTCCTCAAAAGACTCCACTCTGGCTATACCCCTGTTGCTATAACTCTTGGGTGCACCTTGCCTTCTTTGCCTCTCTTTGTAAAGCAGAAAAGTGGTAGGTATTTCTGAATTACGTTGTGGCTTTCCCACAAGAGACTGAAGCTGCGGGGAGCCACTTGTACTCCTTCGATCAAGCTCCAGCACCCGAATCGGCCCATGGTGGCTAGACTCAGATGATGACCTGGAGGAGCGGACACTGCCATCTCCACGGGCTTTGCTTTCGGATTTTTTCTTAAATTTTAAAGCCAAGAAACGTTTAAATGAAGTCTTCTTCTTTTTGGGGTTGTCAGGAGATTCGTGTTGGATTAGAAGTGAAGGAGAGCTTTTGGTTACAGGCCTCTTAGTTATGTAAGCTAACTCAAAGGGTGGTGGGATATCAACTAGAGATGTAGGTGTCGACACACCACTGGAGGACTGGTGACTTCTTTGAGAAAAGCTTCCAGAGGAAGTAATCACACAGGGCAAAGAAAGTGTGTCATCTTTTTTTTGCAATCTGCATTCCTCTCTAGGAGATTTCTCACCCTCAAAGTGCCCTGAAAATGGCAAATCTCTGCCCTCAACAGAAAGCGAACGAGGAGAAAGAAGAAAGCGCCTTGGCTTCAATGAGGGAATTACACGGTTTGCCTCTGTTTCATCTGAAAGCTTGGGATGTGGAACTCCATTCTGGTCCAAGGCCACAGTGTAGTAGTCGTGAGACTGGTACTCAGTGCCCGTCTCCTCAGGCACAGTCTCAGGAACATATCCAGGTACTTTCCCAGAAAGCGAGCGAGATCTCGTCACAATGCTCTTCCTGTCCAGAGAGATAAAATTCTCGCCCTCCGAGTCGAAGCCAGCCTCCTCGTAAATGTGTTCGTCACTTTCTGTGTCAGAGTCCTCAAAGAAAGGCACAATATGACAGTCCAGCTCTTCGATGCCCTCTTCAAATGCTTCTGTGGTGTGGGCAAAAACCACACGGTTTGTAAGTTCTGGAGTTCTGCCTACATCCAAGTCAGCAGGAACAGTAATGTTGCAAAGTCTGAGACGTGGCTGGCAGCTGTTCCTCTGACTCAAATGAGCTTGTCCCCTTCTAGCCGATCGTTCTCTTATACTTTTGCACTTGGTTTTCCTCTCCAAGTTTACTGGCTCATCTTCATCTCCTATCTCGACGTAATCTTCAGACGACACACACTCCACCTGCTGATCGTCACCATCGTTGTCTTTGATGTCAGCATAGTCATCCACTTCTTCATTTTTTGCCATCTCTTGACCCTCAGAAGCAGGTTGAGAGACACCATTTTCTAATTTCACCTGTTCCTGCTCTAACTCTGCCACATCGTCCGATGATACATAGTAAGGCTCTTGGTTTGACGTTCCCTCTGTTGCGATCTCAGAGTCTATTGGTTTCTCATTGCTGGACTCATCATCAGTACATCTTGCTTCTGGATCAGAGGTACATGTCAAATCACTTGGCACAACCTCTATGACAGAGTAGGGCTCGTATGCATCCTCTGTCTCCTCTGCAAACCTGAAACGTCCAGATGGGTCTTTGGTAGCACGTTCAGCCTGCCAAGTACTGTTGTCATCCAGTGTGCCAATGACATCATAAGGGTATTCCTCACATAGTGAGGGTTGACTGCAGTTTGTAGCTTTTGAAGAAAGTCCAGTCTCGTCTTCTTGTGCCTCATGAACACATTTTGCACCTGTTCTAGTGTCCTCTTCATATTGATCATTGGCACAATAAAAACCGTCTGATGATGGGTCCTGAATCTCCTCATACGGACTTTGAGATTCACCTGCAGGCTGATCTTTAATGAGTGTCTCATTCTCAGAAAATGCACAGGTGTCCTCAAGTACATTATAAGCATCTTCTCCATTCTCAGCTGGCTTGGTATCATGAGTGTTTTTGCTGTGGTCCTCAACTGCTGAATCAAGACTTTCATCGACCACTTCCAATAAATCTGAAGAGGCTGAATGCTGTATTTCAGTGGCTTGATGAACTTTACCTTCATCCATCCTACCTCCCACTGTTTCATCCACTGCCATTTGTAATTCTTCCTCTATTTCATTATAGCAACTTGTGTCATGGTTAGTCTCATAATTTACAGTAAACTCTTTGTCAGATAAGTCCACGTCATCATCCGTACAGTTTTCTCTGGATGCATCTGCTTCATCCTGTGTGACATCTGATTCATTATCATGGTTCAGCTCCAGTCTATCAGAGGATGTTATGTACCCATTGCTCACAGTGCTTTGGCTCACCTCAGAGGCTTGCCTTGGTTTGGGTGCCACAGGAGGTTTAGGACCTCGGGTGGAGGGACAAGGCCTTGACATCAGGGTGGAACACACAGTTATAGTCAAATGGCTTTGTCTTTGGTTGATAAGTTTGGAATTGCTTCTAAAAATCTGCAAACAGAAAGAGAGAAGAAAATTACATTTCAATGTTGAATTGGATATCCTTGACCTTGCAATAGAAATAAGTGAAATAACTTACAAACTGACTGACACTATGCCATTATGAGCTCAGCTGCTCCTTTAAAGTGGCATATTGATTGATCTACATTGATCATTTGACTGATGAACTGCAACCTCTGAACTTATAACATAATGAAGTGATTATATGCTCACTCCATTCACACTAAACAGCATTTTCACAGCCGTATATATGGCAAAATAACAGGATATGAATTATGCAACAAGAATTCACTTAAAACAAATGGTTAAACACAATGGGAGGAATAAAGGCAGAAACAAACTCTTCAATGTGCAAAGCCATCAGTACATGATCTCAGATATGGGCTTTAAAGTGCTTTGCTAATTAGTCCTACCAGCTGAAAGTGAACAGGACAAACTAAATTAACATAAATTAAGAGCATATATATATATATATACATATATACATATATATATATATGAATAGTTTAGATGCAAAAGCCTATAAGTGCCATCTGAAATGTTTTTCTAAAATTTGCATTTTCATCAGGCTCGGGCTCCTATATTTATGTTCAGTTATTTCACTTTAATTGAATAGAAAAATTATATACATGTGTATGTATGCGTGTGTGAATTATGTTATTCAAATAAGAAATTAAGAGGAAAAATCAATGAATACAGCAGCATTGTCGTTCTGTGGAGAACTATAATAACATTTTCAATATTTGCTTACAAGGACTACTACAGGATGAAAGGACAAACAGTTACTTCTTATGTCAGTTACTTCTTAATGCCATATACTTTTTTCAGTATAATGTATGCATTCATAAAATACCCTGCAAAACTGTGGACAGATCTGGCTGTTGACTATTAACCTTAGATTTCACATTCTAAAAAAAAAGTCACATAATTTAACTGTAGTGAAAAGTTTACTCTATTTGGTTTCATACCGGCGTTCATTGTCGGATGTCATCCACCATGGCATCTGAAATATTTCCACATTATTCCTTGATATTCCACCGAAGCAACAGTATATATCCAGAGGTGCCGTGAACTTACTCCAATGACATCTGTCATGAACACTTGACAAACAATGAACACTTCATCACTTATTCGACGGCGTTCTTCCAAAAAATATCAATTTTATTAGCGACTGTTGCAGCAGGTCTCTTCAGAACCGCGCGCTTCCCGCCTGAAGGAATGAGAAGAGATGCGCTCGCGCTCCGGTCTGAGCGTGGAGACTGAAGGTGTTTTCCGCGCGCTTCCTGAGGAGGTACAGCGAGTCTCCCTCACGGGAATACAAGGATCGATGACCGAAACCTCAGAGAAAAACATCTAAAATCAATAACCATCAGTGGCGTACAGCACTTTCACAAACAGCTGTTCCATTGCTGTCACGAGATGGTATGTTTCAGTGTCCCCTATTAGAGGATATTTTACAGAATTTCTTGTTCTCACAGAAAAAAAATACAATACAATACAATAAACCCTAACTCGAAATTTCCAATCAAAGTGGGTTTGTATCACCACATTGTCATTCGATTTAGATTTATAGCCTAGAAAAGGTGGCTTGAATCTTTAGCTATATCAGAATATTTAACATTACGTTAACTGTGCCCTGCTTAATTGTAGCTATAAAAATAATAACTAAAAAACATAAAAATGCAGTAATTTTGTTGGTAGCCTATCAAAGACTGTCAAAAAATATTTCTTGTGATTTGGGTAATCAAATGTTCCTAAAAACAGGTTCTAAAACAGTTTGCTCTAAATGCTTTTGGCCAGGCTTCCTTTTTGCTCATCTGTTGCCTGATTGGAGGAAAGCAGCTCTTTAAAAACCTCTCTTCATAACAGGAAACTGCTATCCCTCTTTCCTACACAACAGGCAATGCTTCCTTAGCAACAAATGAACAAATGCGCTGCTGTTAACTCTACTGTGGAATTACTGCATTCAAGATTTAGACTGTATTTTTCCTAATGGATCTCCACACTGATAGGAGACCACTAATTCAATGAGTATTTTTAGACAAAAACAGTTCTTATAAATAATCCAAACAGGGGACGCCCAGGGGTAGCACCAAGTAGGCTATTTGAAGTCCCGCAAGTGATAGTCCTGACTCAGTTGGTGCCCTATGCAAGATACTACATGAATAAAAAAAGAGAGAGAAAAAAATAATTGATGCTAGTCTTTTAATTTGGCATGCAATGTTACCGGGATTAAATCCTGATTTAACATATAATAATAATTCTGTTTCTACTTATTATAATTGTAATACACCAACCAAAATTGCAACTGACCTTGACAGCCAATGATCATCATACATTTATTATTAAAGCAAATTTTCTGCAAAAAGGAATGACTTAATTTTACTACGCAAATTTAGATGCATGAATGGATCATTTCTGTCACAGATTTTTGCACAGACACTTTTTACCTAATAATCATGCAATTTAATGATAAAAAAATAACAATTCTGTGTGGACTTTTGTATGGATGTTGCATTCAAAATTCAAGATATGGGCCTGACACTTCTGACTCAAAATCAATGCAAACAATAAAATTAAATCAAATTATATTCTGTGGAAGTAAAACGATTGGAAGTCAACTGTAGTCTAATCATAATTCTAAACATATAGTGTAAATATAATTCTGTTAATTCTACTTTCATAGCTTCTCCTTTACACCAAGACATCCATGCAGACAGATCTTTGGCATATAGGCTATCCACCAAATCAGATATTATTTGACAGACCCTTTGTTGAAGCCTAATGAACACAGAATTGTAAGACAAGATAACCCCCAGCTGAGTAGCTGCCGTGATGTTCAAGGGCAGACAACAGTCCTGAAACTCAGGAGAGAAAACTGTCAGCCACCTGGGGCTCCATGTTGACAGCTTATATCACAAGCCAAACACTCAAACATTAGGTGGCAAATTCCATAGGACGTATAATATATATATAACTCCACAGGACTAATTTCTTCATATCTATCTCTCTTTCTCTCTATATGTCTGCAAAATTTAAATTATTGCCACTTTCCACCAATTTATCTTAAGCAATTCTGATTAAGTAAAAAAAGCAAAGCCTTTTAGAAACTACGTTTAAGCGCTAAATCTCCACTCCAGTCTGGGATCTCCAGGTGTCAGACAGTTATATTCCCCTAGAAGATAACATGAAAGAAAAAATGGCATCAGCACTCTTAGGCAACTCAAAAGCACAGCTACAGAAACAACACTCTCACCTTCCCCCAGTCCCTCGACCAATGCCACACTTCCAGAGAAAAACAGGTGAAGCCAGGAGTCAGCACTTCATCAAAAATAGCAAACAAAGACTGCACTCCCTGTGGAGTCCAGGACCTCTCAAGCCAAATCAATACCACACTGCTGGCCATGCAGGGTTATAGAAGAATGCATATATGTAGTTAAATATTATAGAGCAGTCTGTAAGAGTCTGTTATGCAGTAGTTTTTAACCTTGTGTTCATATAAATTAATAGGGTCAATGACTTTTTGTCCGGACCTATTCATTGTTTTTTTTGGAGCATATAGTCTTAAGGGATTAGGTTCTTGAAAACCTTCCATTATTGGCATAATTTTCCATTATTATTTCTCTGAAAATATTTATATTATCCATATTCAGATTTAATATTAATAATATTTAATAACACATAACAATAATTAATAATATTTTATTATTGTTATTATGACTATTATTATTACGCTTATTAATATTTGGGGGGGAAAATCACCCTCAAAGTCAAAGCCATGTGGTGCAACCAATAAAATAATTGTGGTGCAACTAACATGCAGCAGCAAAAAAAAAAAAAAATGTAGAAGAAAAAAAGAAATATAAAACATTTTTTGAAAATAATGAAGATACACTGATGTACTCAAGATGAACGAAATATATGTTCTACATTTTACTTGGCTACACCACGTGACATTTTTAGAGTCATTTAATTTACACTTTTGGTTTTTGAAAACCATGTAAAACCAACATAAATACAGATTGAAAGAACTTTGTGTTTTAAACTAGATTTTTAAAAGATTTCTTTTAAAAAGTTGTAATTTTCTTTATTATGAACGCTCTTATTTATTACTAATATCATTAGTAGCTTAAAATCCAGTACTCTAAAATGGTTGCATTATGTTGATTATAAAACGTTTAATTTCATAAGTTGCATTTGCTTGTTTAAAAAAAGTCAAAACTGCAGGTGATGCAATTAAGTAACTGTCAGTGAGTGCTACTCATTTCAAGTCTTATTGTCAAGGAGGTATATTGCTATTTTCAGATGCTGAGAGCAAGAAAATTAACTTAAGTAACTGCTTAGGGAGAGATAGAGTGATTAGTGAGGTTTTAAGCAGGTGTGATACGCTAAGCAGGAGGGCAGGTCTTGATAACAAGTCTCTTGTTTTGCCTCCATACCCTTCTCAGAAAGACACAATCCTCAGAGCAGCACTGTAATAACATCGATTTACCGGTCATGAATAAAAGTCTCAAGAAGCCTCATAAAAAGGCTTGTGGCTTGGCCTTTAAAAGCGCTGCACAATGGGCCAGTCAAACACTAGCCTATAGCCTTTAGCACAATAGATTTATGGACCCCGGAGAGCTTGATTTCTTTTGAAAAATGATGCAGAGTGCCTGGCTGCCCTTTTCCGTCACATTCATTTTCACATTCTGTTTTGCTTAGTATTCTGATGCAAACACAAACATGTGCGCCTACAGTTCCGCACAGTGCAGCATGACAGAGACTCTCATTAGGCCGCAATGATATTTCTTCTGATCCAAGAGCTGGATTCCCTAGCTCAACACTTACTAAAACAAACACAGGTCTGTGCAAAAGAATAATTTCCAAGCTGATTAGTAAGACCAAGTTGCTGATCTTTCGTTCTGCAGGTCCTAAGGGGAACAATACCACTGTGAAAAAGTCCCCTAGTCTGGATTTACTTTTTCCTGTGACTGTTTTCACATCTTTCAGCCAAATGAGACTGAACGGATACAGATACTAAGTTTAAAAATATCTGTGTTTTCTAACCTCTTTTGGCCTTGGCTGTCAGCCGCTCCCATGTATCTAAGCATCTTAAGCAAGGAAGGTGATAACAATCATGCTAACTTGCAAATTACGTTTCTCAATAAATTCTTGATGTGAATTTATTGTACTTAATTTGAAATGGGAATAAAATAAAGTAGCTATAGCATTCCCCTTATGAAAAAGAAGTGCACTATAGCATGCTTTTAAAATAAAATGCACTTAATTGTGAACGTAATGTAATTTAAGACAGTTAATTGCAGTTAAATGAAATTGTATTGTAGTTGAGATTTATATTAATACAGTTAAATGAAGTCATAATTACTTCTCTTGTTTTGGTTGAAAATTGTGTACTGCCACAATTTTGAAAAGTGTACTGCCAAATGTACTGACAAGAATTAGTAAACTAAAATATTTCTAAACTTGTAATGCATTTAAATATATTTGTAATTATAGTTTGCAAGAATGCAAAGCTTTTAGTCAACACCCATGTATGTGTACTTCTTGAGAGAACAACTTCTCTTTAAAGATTATTAGAACATAATGATCTAAAATGTACTTGGAAGTAAAACTTTTAATTTGACATTATTACAAAGTGCAATTTTTAAAAGTGTACTTGCTTAAACTAAGTGGTCTTTTATTTAATTAATATCACATTATCTTGCATATACAGTTTTTTTTTTAATGATAAAAACTGTTTCCAAAGCCTTTGACTTTTACAGATTAGACAGATAGGAATGTTTTACCCAGCTCCCATGAAAAAACACACACAAAAAAAACAAGCTTAGCTGGTTTGCAGAGTGTTACGCAACAACAGATGGGTGATTGTCATAGGCTCGTTTTTTTTTTTTTTTTTAACACTTTTTTGTTTTTGACTAAATAAATCCTTTGGAATCCAAATTATTTTGGGACAAGACAAGAGCAAACAGTGTCAGAACGGCATTATCATCAATGCATTTTGGGAATGAGGTAGGACAGATTCAGACTTTTAAAGAGACAGAAGATAAATACCAAACAGATTTATTGATGAGCCAGTAATCAATAATTCCACAATGGGCTGCAATTAGTGCCACAATCCAAACACTTTCACACCTGCCCCTTTTTATTAACTTTTGTTAAATCAATGCAACACTCTGTACAATTCCTTTCTGCAAAACTCAGTTTGGCCATAATATTGAAACATAGCTGATATGTCTGAGATGAGATTATTGGAACCTGATTAAGTCTAAGGTTCAATGCAATGCAATAAGGTAAGGTGACCCTCACCAGTGCTCTGCTGGGATTCCCTCAGGAGTCCATTCAATGAGATGGAACAACCTTTGCTGAGGTCATCTTTGCCTGTTTTATACACATTAAAACACACATACACATTATTTTCCAGCCTGAACATACAGTCAAGGATGAACAGGCAATGACAGA